GGTAAGCTATCTACCTTGAGCTTTATTCTGCCCTTAATTTACATTATTTGCACATTAAATCACTTAACTACGATGGCGCAAAATACCAGGTCGCAAGCCCTTAATCGTATAATGAGGTCTGTAGGTGGACAGAATCCAGTCTGTGCAAAAAAGGTGGGCGCAGCAACACAATCACCGTCTAAGATCCCCATAGCACTAACACGTCAGTCACAGCATTTTTCGAAACCGGCGAACCCCCTTAGTCGGGATGGCAGTAACACGTCTCCAGTCATGTCGTTGATGGAAAATAAAGTATGGAGGAAACGCGTAACGTCTGACACCACCTTACAGAAAGCAAACCACTCAGTCGCCAACAAAGAGCAAACCTCTGACTACTGTGGTGATTGCAAAGAATCGGAAATCACTGGCCATCACCACTGGCAAACTGGAAAACCCGTTTCAGTCAAAATGTTGCAGAGAACGAGCTCCAACAATCTTACCTTGGAATGCCATCAAGCTCCACAGGTGTGCGGAAATGCCAACACTAGATATAGGAAGAAGTTGTCTCCTACTGCAAGTGAGACACCAAAAGGTCTTCGCTTGTACCATCACCGCCCAGACTATCCAAAGGGACTGAACAACCTAAGGAAATAGGTTGCGTTGGGAACGACTGGACGGAAGTGAATAGGGTAAAGGGTGGGCCGAAAGCACTGGCTACCAGGCCCAGTTTTCCGCACTCAAAGGACAAAAAACTCACCTCGCCATTCTATTCAGCGTCCCTACATCAACAGACTCGCTCTCAGAAAAAGAGAATAGTCTGACAAGGAGAAGTTGGCGACTTCTGCAGAAAGTTGGGGATAGAAACCATCGCAGCCAGCTTATGCTGGCTCTCTCAAGGAAGCAGAGCACCTTGAGACAAGCCGCCACCTCTCAGAATATAAGCGATGACGGCGAAACAGTCGAATAACATACTGCTGTCGCTCCGACCAGATATTGAAGGCTTCTGCCCCATGATAGTGAAAATAGATGAACCCTGGGTCACCGGAAAGGCAGAGAGAAAGTCCCTGCTTAGTGATCTGTACAGAGCTGCAACAATGGTGGTGCGCGGAATACCCGAAGTGGGGGGTGGATCCGCAAAGTCTGATAACTACCTTCATGATATCAGGCAGTGGAGGTAGTTAGCAGCAAAAGTGGGACTTGAAAATTAGCCTGCCAGCAGCGCAAGCAGGTTACCAAGACCTACTCACCTGCATGGCACCTCATCACCAAGATTGTTAGTTGTACGCCTTGCAAAGCATCACTGACAGAATATAAGTGTAAAACTTGGGCACTGTGGTCGAGTGTAATTCCACTTAGTCTGTTTATTAGAAATATCACGTAGTGAAACAGTAGCATGTTACAAAAGCTATCACGGTATGCTACCGTGTGAAGGACCACATAGAAGGAGCTATGCGATGCTGTGAGAGTAGACCACGAGCTGCCAGACTAGAAGATAGGGGGCAACCCCCGAGAACAACATGAACAGTACTGGTCAGAAAAGATTTGGCTAGTGAGCTACTTGTAAGCACAATAAACAGTATCACCACACCAGCAGCAGAATCCTAATAGAGGCCAAAAAACAGAGACCTGCCGGTCCGTACTGGGCTGGCAGGCATAACCCGATACAACGGCACACTAGCCTCCAAACAAGTCCTCATATCGCACTGAGCCCAGAACGTAGCTCCTTAACATGCTTCCACTGTAATGTAAGAGGTCTTAGTAGTAAACTACTGGAGCTAAAAACAATGTGCCACAATCCGCAAGCAGACGCATTTCTCCTCAGGGAGACATGGCAGTCAGAAAACATCGTAGATGAGGAAATATCTCTGCCTAACACGACCCTGTTCCGAAAGGACAGGCAGTTCAAAGAAGGCGGCGGATTTGCCATGTATATTAGCACTCACCTGAAAGTCAAGGAAGAGACCGATGGTGCATATAGCTTACTGTTAGACTCCTTATGGTGCTATCTCACCATAAACCAAACCAAGTACCCGAGTGAAGTGGTACATAGGCCTCTTCTTTGTGCGACAAAGCGCAAGGCACAGTTGCTCAGTGCCATCTCAGCAACCACCTCGGCAGCCTATGACCATATAGTCTTCGCTGGAGGCTCCAACACGTTGACACTCAACCCAGGGTGTGAAGTAAGATGTGGGCGTAAATCTTTTGAACACAAACTTCGAAATAGGTTCGTGGCAGCAGGACTGATAGAGAAGGTTGGAGAAAACACCAGATGAAAAAGGATCACCACCCAACTACGTTCTAGCAGACGATGATCTTTTGGTGGACGATATCTGTGTTCAAACCCCTTTAGGTAAAAATGATCACTCATTGGTGAGATTCTCCCTGGTAACCAGAGAGACACTACCAATAGTTGAGCCGGAAGCGTTCCGCTGTTACCAAAAAGCAGACTACCACCTCAGGAACAGCGAATTCCTGGAGGCTGCATGGCCGCAAGAATGGGACTCATTATCGATAGACGAACACTGGATAAGGATTAAAGATATTATCTGGAGCGCTGTCGAAAACAGTGTTCCAAAATTAATCAGGCGGCCACCTCTGAAAAGGCCTTGGGTAACTCGCGCAACCCAAAGGCAAATAGAGAGGGAAGAGAAGGCGAGGTGCCGGTGGCTCACATCACGCAAAGAATCAGAACGTCACAGCCACAAGGCGTACCGCAACTTGTGTAATATGAGAATTCGTAATGACAGATACACATACCACAACAACCTGGCCAAACAGTTAAGTTGCAGTCCGAAGAGTCTGCATCAGTTTGTGTCACAACGCGAACCGACGAAAAAGAGCTTAAATACGATCTCTGGGCCGGCGGGAGAACCTTTGAACAGCAGTGAACTTGACGAGCAACTCAACCCAGTAATACATCCACCATCAACATCTAGGAATGTGACGACTGCGATACAAAGCTGTTGAACGTAAAGATTTCATCAAACCAAGTGTTTGCGAAACTTTCAACACTGAGGATAGGGAAGTCACCATGCTGTGACGATATAGGACCGGTGGTCCCGCGCAACTGTGCCGAAGAGCCAAGCACACCCACATGCACCTTGTGCACGTACTCCTTGGATGTAAATCGACTCCCCAAAGAATGGAAACGCGCCATCCGCCCACAAATCTTCAAGGGAGGAGATCGAAGGAACCCGTGTAACTACGGACCAATAGCGATACTCCTAGTACTTTCCAAGTCACTGAGGAGCCTGGTTGCAGATGCTGTTTGGGACTACCTGAGCAGAAACGACATAGTCCATCCCACCCAGCATGGCTTCAGAACCGGGCGGCAGTTTGCCACAAACTTGATGACCGCTTGAGATGACTGGACTACCAGATGGGACAACAAGCAACCAGTCCACGTTATCTCATTGGACTCAGCCAAGGCTTTTGATGGTGCCCCACGCCGCCTTATGCTCGCCGAACTGGCAAAAGTGGGTATCACTGAACCACTCCTAGGATAGTTTACAGCGTACCTAGAGGGCGGAGAATTCTGCATTAAAGTAAACGGAATTCAGTCAACCTGGAGGAATGCCAGAACAGGAGTTTCTCAAGGAGTATCCCTTGGGCCAGTGCTATTTTTACGATTCATGAGCGACCTCCCCACTAAAGCCTCCTCATCTATCCTCCTATGCGCCAACGACATCAAAATGTGGAGCACGGTTGGCAACGAAGAGGATCCTGGGATACTCCAAAACGACCTGTCGCAGCTGGAGTCCTGGTCGGCTGCAGGTTTCAGCTTTGATCTGGAGAAGTGCAGGGTGATGTGTCTTCGCACACCAGAGGCGGTGAAAACCAACTACGCTCTCAACAAATATGCAATCACTAAGGTATCCGCAGAGAAGGACCAAGGACTAAACTTTTCTGAGACTGGATACTGCTAGTATTTATAAGGGAACGGCGGCGAAGGCGAACGCCATTATGTACTTTCAAAGAAGGTAACCTGGGTTGTTAGCCTCAGAGTTATTCCTTATGGTATTCAAAACCTACGTTAGACCACACCTAGAGGTGTTCAACGAAACAGCCTCTCCACTCCTAAAGAGAAACGCAAATTCACCTGAGAAGGTACAAAGAAGAGCAACAAAGTTGGTTGTTGGACTAACAGACAAAACATATGCGCAGCGCCTCAGACAACTCAACTTGTTCATACTAAGCTATCGAAGAAAACGAGGTGATCTGATAACAGCCTGCAAGATCATTCACCAAGTGGATCACCCAAGTGGGACAACATTATCGGTCCAAGACCGACAATCCCTTGGGAACCTCACTCGCATACCCCACCACAGGGCAAAGACTAGAGTGACGTCCAACCCCTTCTCCCACAGAGCATGTGCCTTATGAAACGCGCTGCCGAAAGAAGTGGCCACAGACACATCAGCCAACTCCTTTAAAAGACTACTGGATGAGTGTGTGAGCGCAAATGGCTTACCACGAACATTTGTTGGTAGCAACCGATGATACACCCTTCCACCCCTGTATTGCGCTTGTATTCCCCAACTGTAGTATCTGCAGTAAGATGCACCTCTCCGCTATATTATTATCCGTCACATTTATCTTTTCAAAAGTACTTTCCACTTCTTTTTTTCTCATTCCCCACTCACCCCGTTTGTATCACTTTTTAAGTAACGCTTAACAATTACTTGCAGGTGCCTGCAACAACAGGAACTGCAAACGGTTGGTTGATCTTATTGCGCTCCCTAAACAAACGAAGCTACAATTTGCAAATAAAACACCTTCAAATAGACAAACACTACCTCCAAAACTATAAGCAGGAAAACTCAAAGACTTCCGCGACCGTCGAATAAGTACGACCGAACAAAAACAACCAAGCCTCAAGACTCAGAAGCAAGAGATCAAAAACTGTAAGCTTCCTCTGCTAGCACTATTGATGTTGGATGTTGTTGTTAGACATTGAATTTTGGGCTGTTGGTTGGACATTGCATTTCGACCTTGAGTAAACTGTGAATTGTCTTCGACTAATGGATGTTCGTGATGTCCTGTCTTTTGCGGTACAGTTTCTCATTTATCCTCTCTATTTAATCAGTCTCCAAGCCCTCAGTTAAGGAGATCTTTGAAACCTCCTCCTCCACCATCGCTTCAGGATGAAGTTGAATCAAAACGACCGAAGGGCAATGTGGATAATATATCGGCGTCGTTTTCTGATACTTCATCAAACGCTGGAGACTTTGAAGGTACTTTTGACTTAATTATTCATAGGTCTGGTGTAAGACATTATTATACCCCTGGCTTGATAACTTCCGCAACTGGCTCACCATATTCTATTGTTAATCCTCAATAAAATGTATATAATAGTTGTACAGGTATATATGGCATTCAATTCAAGTTCATTTTGAAGGTCTTCAAAAAAGACATGTACAAGTTTCCTGTCTGTCTTAGCAGTGTGTAGGACTATTCTTGGAAAATCCTTAGGTTTTGTTCGAAAGTGCACATTTAGTGTTATTCAAGTGCCCAATCGTAGAGTAATTTCAAAGAGGTTTTTGTTTGTTCTATCTACTTAAGTATATTCCTTTGTTTTATATGATATACCTCTCTCTTGTCACCTCCATATTTCGTCAAATTGGGAAGATCGTAATTTTCCCCCTAATCTGATGAGATGTTTGAGTTCGTAGTTTTCCGACGCTCAACTGGAGCTGGAGAAAATCTGGTAGGTTTCAGACTTGGACGAAAATGCGTCAATCAGATTTTCACCCAGTGATAGGTTCAGGGACAGCCATACCTACCAATGGCCGACATGTGCCATATTTCTAGACGTGAAGGCAATATGTGACTCAGTCGATTGTGAGATGTTGTGGTAGTGTCTGATTGTGAAAGGAGTACCGAGCAAGTATATAAAGATAATCAAAAGTTTCTAGTCGAACCAACACAGATGTGTTAAAGCTTATGGAGAGTTGTCTTGAGAACTGGCGACAACTAGTGTCAGCCAGGTTATCCTCTACCACTGTTCTTATTCAACTTCGTATAGACGTACTAATGGACATGAGTTTAGGTACCTCTGGCTTCACAGGAATTTCCCTACTTCCTGGAAGTCAGCTGGTTGACTTGGATTATGTAGATGACATTGTTTTATTAGGCTAGCTGATGATACTGACATCATCATCATCATCATTATCAACATAGGACCAGGCATTACTGCGTAACGGTCCGAGTTGCCACACCTCATATCAGCACATCAAGTAAAAAGGTAGTGAGGTGAAGGATGAAGATAAGTGAATGCAGTCAAAAGAAATATAAAGTACGAGAAGAAAGGAAAGAGGAGTGACAAAATAGTGAGATTCGGTATAGCGTTGTTAAGATGAGGATAATGTGTGTATACATCTGCGCCACTGACTTCGGTTCTGAGCCATATCACCTAGGGTCTCCAACCACTGGTTCCTCTTGTCCCGTGGACCCCAACCACCTAGTCTGCATCGTCCTACATGGCTTAAACCAACAGTCAGAGACTTCATACATTGGTGCCATGTTTTAGTCTGGCCACCTCGGGCCTTTTTCCAGCCTGAACCCACCTCAGCCAACATTGTGTGACGAGGCAATCGGTGACTAGGCATACGTAGTACGTGTCCCAACCATCTCAGTCGATGAAGGTTCACAACCTCGTCGACTGACTTACCTCTTCTCCCTAAAACTCTACACCTAACTTCTGCATTACTCACATGGTGACACCACGGAATACGTCCTATACTACGAAGGCAACGGTGGTCAAACACCTGTAACCTTTTTGTGTCTTCCACTTTCAATGGCCATGTTTCACAGCCATACAGTAGAACAGAGCGGACTGCTGTGCAGTACACGCGACCCTTAATAGACAAACGAATATCACGGCGGCGCCATAGGTGGCGCAAATTGGCAAAAGCCAATCGAGCCTTTTGTATCCGTGCAGAAATCTCATCGGCAACTAACCCACCGGGTTGATCCTACTTCCCAGGTAAGTGAAGTGGTCAACACACTCAACCACTTCACTCTCTATTGTTAACCGCGGTACCGCTGAAGACCAGTCCTGGAGCAAAAATTTGCATTTGGGTGGTGAAAATCGCATCCCAAACATTCTCAAATTCCCACTCAAAGTGTTCAGAAGACTCTGCATCTTGTCAGCGTCTTCACCTAACAGGACTATGTCATCTGCATATTCTAGATCTAAGGAAAATTCACCTGTGATCCGGTCAACGTCTTTGTAATTAGGTGACGAGAGGGAAACCTCCATAAGAATATCTATGATAAAATTAAATAAGAATGGGGATAGTGGGCATCCTTGACGGACACCACTTGATGAGTATAGCTCCCTGGACAACTCACCATAGGCTCTAACATGCCCACAAGTGTTCGAGTAGAGAGCTTTCAATAAGGTGATGTACTTACTAGGCACGCCTTTCAGTGACAGACACTGCCATAAGACTTCTCGATCAACGGAGTCAAATGCCGCCTTCAGGTCGAGAAATACAGCTATTGTCGGGCGTCTGTAAGCATGCCTATGTTCCAGGACCTGGCGCAGTGTGAATATTTGGTCGATACATCCACGGCCAGGTCTAAAGCCTGCCTGGTTTTCTCGGGCTTGCTGTTCCCGAGCTCCACTCAGGCGTCGGAGAATTATAGAACTTAGGATCTTAGACACTATGTTTGTCAGGCTGATTCCTCTGTGGTTATCACAAGAGGACTTCTCGCCTTTCTTGAAGACTGGGATGATGAGTGACTTAGACCAGTCGGAGGGGATCGTATTTGATTCCCATATACTGGCTAACACTTCCGTTAGCCTGACTAAGAGAACTCTACCACCATTCTTGTATACCTCAGCAGGTAGTCCGTCTGGTCCTGCTGCCCTTCCCCGTTTCAGGCTACCTACCGCTTTCTCAACTTCTTCTAGTGTTGGGGGACCTGTCTCTATGTCCCATTCAGGGTCCGACTGGATAGCGGGCAGCGCAATGGTGGCTGGAGGCCAGTTAAACTGTTCCTCAAAGTGTTCTGCCCATCGTCCCAGTCGCCTTCCCTGCGAGTGAATCGCCGATCCGTCCTTCTCCGCTATAACCTCACTAACTGTTGTTGACCATTTCCCCCCAGTCTCCTTAATAAGTCTAAATAACTGTCTACTGTTACCGATCGCCGCTGCCTTTTCCATCTCTTTAGCCTTTGCTGCCCACCACTGTTCACGATCGTTGCGCAGACTTTTCGTCAGTTTATTTTTAAGTTGCGCTCGCTCTTCATTGTACTCAGAGCCTGCAGGGATGCATTCACGTGCATCCATTAGTTTGGAAGAAGCTGCTGATATCCACTGGCTCTTTTTAGCCATTATCTTGGAGTCGGCTACAGTCTCCAGTGCTGCTTTTACAGTAGACTGAAGATGGCACCAAGCTTCTTCTGGATGAGTGACAGTCTTTTGTTCCGATAACTGCCTAGCCAACTTCTCACTGAACACGGCTTTGGTGTTTTCGTTGTCCAGCAGAACTCGTAGTGGTTTTGTTGCCAAATTTTTTCTACGTCCATTGAGACGCAGGCATATACGTGCTCGGACCAACGCATGATCGCTGTCCAAACACGTACTCCAGAAGGAGCGGCAGTCTTCCACCGATCCTCTCCAGCGATGACTAATAGCAATGTGGTCTATCTGTGTCCATCGCTGAGTCGAGCTCGGTGGACGCCAGGTCAGACAGTGCCTTTCTTTATGTCTGAAATTTGTGCTGGCTAAAAATAGGCGGTTATCTGAGCATAGTTGTAATAGGCGATCACCGTTATCTGTACGTTCAGCTGGGATTCCGAAAGTGCCACCTAAGTGCCTTTCTGCCTCACTCAGTCTACCCACCTGTGCGTTGAGGTCACCTGCAACAACCACTACGTCCGAACGTTTGGCTTTCGAGAGGAGGTTAGACAGTTTATGGTAGAACTCGTCCTTCACTTCATCCGAACTACAGTCAGTGGGTGCGTAAGCAGAGATTACAAAGAGACAACGGCGAGTCTCACTATTCCTTTTAGTTCTCACTGTGCCGTTCAGCCTCATAGCGCAGAGGCGACTATCAACTGGGATCCAGTCTAGTAGTGAGTTTTCTGCCCTGGTGCTTAATGCTATACCTACACCTGCAAGACCACGAGAGCTAGCTATCGAATCTCCAGAAACTCGAAGGGTGAATTTTGTGGATTCACCAGATTGGTCAGGAGAGGTCAGGTGAATAACCACACTTGGGTCCTGTATGCGTGTCTCACAAACACAGCACACATCCATGCCCCGAGTTGCTAGAGTCTTTGCCAACGAAGCCTGTTGGCCAATTTGACGGAGGGTGCGGACATTGAAGGCTCCAATATGTAATTTGGAGCGTGGTTTAAGGAGACCAGGGATGCTGTTCTGTGGACTCAGATCGTTGTCGAAGGCTGCAGAGGTAGGAGAAATTGAAGATGATGCAGCATCATTAATTAAGAGACGTGAAGGAAGATTAGAAGGTAATGATGGAGGAGGAGGATAGCAGTCAGAAGAAACTTGGGTGCTGACAGAGTTGTGAGGGCGGTTGACACTTCCCGGCTGCCCACACCGTGGAAGGCTATTTCTTCTTAAGGTACCTGAAAGAGATTTGTGTGACCGCAGAGCCCATCGGACATCTGCTTGAGGCCTGTCACACCCAGCCTTTTGAGTATGATTATTTTGAATTTTTGTATTTTTGGGGCCGGATGGTCGAAAGGAAACGACAAGTGAACCAACACCGCCGGCCCGGCAGACCGTGGGGCGTGGTGGAGTGTGTTATTTTTGGGGCCGACCTTTTCTAACCCCCCCTTCCACTGAGAAGGCAGCATCAGCTTGGCACTGCTGGTCATCCAAGGGAAACACCTTACTGCTGTCACACCCCATCCAGCTAGCAGCAGTACGACTTCGCCCTCAGACCCCCATCATAGTGTAGCAATTTACACTATGACGGTAACTGCTTTTCGTCTAACCACTACCCAACAGACCTTTCTGGTATGGTAGGACCTCGAGGGAACAAGCGTTCCACCAGCATAGCTCGTTGGGTCATTGTGATATGCAAGCCCGACCACCACGTCAAGGTAGCAGCTATCGGTCGGGGATGATACTGACACACTGCACGATTGTTTTCTAAATATGTTGAGCAGAAATAGGAGTATGTTTGGTTAGCATGGGTTTCGCACCTGTCAGCTGTAAGATTATGCTCCAAGACTGGTCTGCAACTGCCCACGGTTTAATGACAAAGTGAAGTGATGGAATGTGTCGACCACTTCACTTACTTGAAAAGTTGCATCAGCACAAACGAGTTGGTTGCTGACGAAATCTTAGCTCGGATACAGAAGGCCTGTTTGGCATTTGCCACCAGACGTCGTCTGTGACGCCGACTGACGAAATATCTAGCTCTAACAATCGATGAGTATACGGTGCTTGAGTCTCGTACGGCTATGAGGCATGGGTATTGAAAGTATGCATAAAGCGGTTACCGGGTTTTGATCACATATGTCTTCGTAGCATTCTTCACTTGTGGTGGAATCACAGCGTGAGGAATGTTGAGGTCAGGTGGAAACTACTAGGCAAGTTGCTGGATGAGGTTGTGTGGGCCTTAGTCGACTGAGATGTCTTAGGCATGTACTGCGCATGTCGTGCCATTATCTACCTCGATTTGTCATGCTGGGAGAAGCTGGATTAGGTTGGAAGTGAGTTGAAAGTGGTCAGACCACAACGTGACACCAATCGATGAAGTCTCTTACTGTTGATCTGAGTTGTATAGGGTGGTGCAGATTACCTGACTGGAGTCCACAAGACGTTAGGAATCAGTGGCTGTAGAGTGCTGATGACATGGCTGGAAATTGGTAAGCGCCGCAGATGTATTAACTCCTAGACTTCTCCTGAAGCTTGAATACTTTCACCAACGGCTATTTTCAGATTTTTTTTCTCTCGCATAACTTAGTCTGCTTTGATATGTCACTTATTCCATCCACCTGTTCTTTGTGTACTGTTGTGAAGTTTGGCAACTTGAGGCGATACACTTGTGTACGAGATCCTACGTTGATTTTGTCTGTCTTGACTATCCAAAGTATATCAATTTGATAATTAGTTGTCACATATCTTAGGGATGTGGTCGCTTGATAATGTGCCAGCATCGATTGTTAAGCGAGTGGCTACGTAGCTTTTTTTTGCTGTCCAGTCCTACCCAGTTGATGCAGAGGGTTCAAAAGTGGGTTACAACTCTCACATTCCAACACCTTTTCATAACCCACAAGGTGTTAGTCCATACGAACAGCAAAACAAGTAGGAATCACTCCAGGAAGTTGTTTTTTGTAGGATGATTAAATACAAAAATCTAAACCTAACAAATGAACAATATAGTTGCATTTTTAAATTGTTAATCTTTTTTCTACACTAAGTATTCGTTGTTATCTTTGACTTTTCAGACATTCCACATGTATATAAGATATCAGATTCATTGGATCTGGAGACAAATAATGAACCTACTACTGTTGGAGCAAATGAAGTGACTGAAACTACTGTTCGTCGCCTTACTGTACTCCTTGAAAAACGCGCTTTGGCCAATCAAGAAGCTCGAACAAAGTTTCCTGATCAACCGAAACGTTTTATGCAATCAGAATTGGAGCTGCAAGAAACACTTGAAGAAATGCAAGTTAGTGAAACACATAATAGATACTATTGTTTTACTACTTACTATCAACTGACAGTTAAGTGAAAAGATTAGAAAATGAAAGTTATAGCCTTCTATCATCCTCTTTAGAGCCCTTTTAGTGTGAACGACTTCAGAAAGTAAACTCAGTAGCCATGTACAAGAAAATGTGTTGTACACTTACCTTTTACTGTACCACATGACTGGTACCTTGATTCGGTGTATCATTGATCCGTTCAAGTTTTATCGCTTATACTTCAGATTTTACCAGTTCAGAAAGGTGTATTGAACGAAATCAAGACCAAATTTAATTTTGATCAGTCATAACAGCAATATGAAACTCAGAAACATGATAGAGGTTGGTGTACTTGACTTTACATAATGCCTAATGTATGTGAACGTACAATACCATCTAATTGTTTCAGCCTAAGTGGGTGGGTTATAGTTGAAAGCCAAGACCAGTGAACTAAAACCTCACACTGAAGTCATTTGATAAATGTGCTGATAATTACAGATATTCGTGCTATCGAGAATTTCGGATGCTAATGGAAGCATGTGGGTGGTTGGTGTTTCTCGGTTGCTCACACTGTGGAAGTTATTTCTGAATGGCACATAATAAAGTAAAAGGGATTAGCTTGGTGTGGCCATGAACATTTGACTAAGGGTAGTTACAGTCTTTTTGAAAGTTCTATTGTTATGAATCTAGCTAGAAAGACCTTTATGGCTGACACAAGACGACCATAGGACAGTGGGGGGTTGTCCCACCTCCATATGGAAGCCAGTATCAACATAAACTACTGTAACACAACGTCCAGTCACTATTACGAATTCACCCTTAGGCCCTCATTGTAGCATCGCTATTTATACTCTAACGGCAACGTTTTTTACTCCTGCTATTCAAGAGACGTTTCTGGGATGGTGTAACCGCCTTCACGCGGCGGGGGTGTTTTCGCAGATGTGGAAAGGCGCAAGCGAATGTTCAGCGCCTGTCACCAAATTGGCGGATACTGAGGGTCCACGTAGAAGAGTTGAAAAACCCTGATTCCAGACTAATGGTGCTCATAGGCTCAAGGTTCCAGATGGAACGAATAAGTAGTGAGCATATTTTGGTCACCGGAAACCATAGGAATGCAACTCTTGATGTTGTTCCAGTGCCTTGTGGGTTAGACTTTCAGTCAAGAGCTCGGGGAGTAGTCCCCTAAGATAACTACCTGCTTCGGTTTGGGCGCCCATGCAGTATCCCAGACCTCACATAAGATATGATCTATGAACTTACAATGTAGAAAGAAGATTTCGAAGCTATTAACCAACTTTTCTGTGAATACTGATGCTCTCCGCACTGCGAACTTTTATTACTACTATATTTTTATTGTCTTTACAAACGAACTGTATTTTTTTATTGTTACCATTTTCACTTTTGTCTTTATTTTCACTTCATTCAGCTGCTCTCCATTCTTTAGGCTTCTGGTCGGTCTGTACCGTTTTGAGTCACTAGACAGTTTCCCCCATAAAACTGTCCTCTAGTGCGCCATCTGATACAGCTATCTTGAGACCACGCATACCGTTTAAGCTCACCACCTTCAACGTTTGCACCTTGATGCAGATTGGACAACAGGCTGGTTTGGCTAGGACTCTGGAAAGCCTCGCTGTTGATGTTTGCTTCATCTCATAGACCGTCATACAAGATCCCAGCGATTTGTTTCGAATTAGTTCCCCATCTGTCAGCTCGAAAAGTATGTTTCATGTGCACTTATTCTGGGACACTATGGCATCGGCAACCGGCCTCACTGGTGTCGGTTTCGCACTAAGCTCTCGGGCTGAAGCTGCACTTCTCGACTGAATCCCCATCAATAGTCGTCTGTGTGCTGTTAGGCTAGTAGGTTCAGTTCGAATAAGAAGTAGCCGGCAACAGGTTCGATGTCTATTTGTCATCTCTGCCTACGCTCTGACGGATTGCATCCCGAATGCAACCAAGGATGAATTTTATCATTAACCGAGTGACCTTCTCAACCAAGTGCTGTCGACGGATATCGTAGTGCTAGCTGGGAACTTGAATGTTTAGGTCGGGCGTCTAGACTCCGAGGAGAGTCGTGTAGGTTACCAATGGGGACTAGTTAGCCGCAGGTCGAATAATGGGGATCGTCTTCTACAGCTTTGCGCAGATCACAACCTATTTCTAGCTAGCACCAGCTTTCGGGCCAACCATCACCGTTATGCTACTTGACGTCTTCCTTCTGCCACTCGAGCCTGGACTCAAATAGATCATATTGCAATCAGCTACCGATGGTGTGGGTCCATACAGGACTGTCGCTTCATATTGGAGTACTTGTCTTGACTCTGATCATGCTTTAGTGTGTGCTTAGCTCGTTTTGCGTTTTGGTAGTCATCAAAATCGTCGTCCTAAACAGGTCGATACAAGCAAATTAGTTGCACCTAACAGTGCAGTTAAATACGAATCCGAGCTGGATATAAGGCTACCTAACGACCATCCAGAAAACGTTGACGAGCATTGGCTGCACTTGCGAGACGCCATGAAAATGGTGAGTAAAGTCGCTTGTGGCTTGTAAAAATGTCCCGCTAGTAAACATTGGTTCTTTGCGAGCTCCCTGCAATTTCTTGACGTCCGTCGGACCATTTTCGCGGATAACCAGTACAATGATTTGCGTAAGTCTCTTACGCGAAAGATTACACAAGTACCGTAAGGCTTGGTGGTCAGAAAACACAAGTGAGGTGGAAGCAGCAGCTGCATCTGGCACTAGTCAAAAGCTGTTCCAGTTCATCTGAGCCACTGGCAGCAAGAAGCCAGGTGTCATTGAGACGGTCTGTGAGGTAGATGGTACACCGATAAACAATCTCCAAAGACGTCTGGAACGCTGGACGGACCACTTTGAAAAGGGTTTTAACTGGTCCATGGCTTCAACATTGTCATCTTCGGTGTATCGTGCTCCATGGTCAGCTAACATTGACTCGCCTAATGAAGCGGAGGTCCATATGCAACTCCAGGTTCTGAAACGCGACAAGGCACCTGCTTCAGACAACTTAATTTTGACTTTTTCAACATGGAGGAACGACTCTAATCAGGGAACTGACTGGATTGCTTGAGAAGGTATGGCAGACTAAGAGTGTTCCATCACTCTGGAATAACCTCGCCTGGTTAACTAGTTTACTAGTTACTAGCCGGTCCTAAGCCCGGGTAAAGAGGGAAGGTTGGGCATAGGGCTAGCAACCCTACCCCGTAAAACAAATCTAACCGCTAAAGAAACTTCAAAGCACAAACAAAATATAAAAAATGAAAACAAACTTATTCCCCGCTGGAATCGGAGAGGCGAAATGACGCCAGTTGGTGAAAGCCTTCGGGAAGCCAATTGGCCGATGTGTCTTCTCTCCCTCGATGAAAGCGAAAGTAAACGTGGGGACATGGAATGTCCGCACGATGTTTGAACCCAGTAAGGCAGCCCAGATTGCAAAGGAGATGAGAAGGTATAACATCGAAGTGCTTGGGATTTGCGAAAGCAGATGGAATGGGAGTGGACTCTCCAAACTGTCAACTGGAGAATCAATAATCTACTCCGGTCACCCAGACGCCAACCACGAGCACACTGAGGGAGTGGCTATCATGATGTCCTCAAGAGCATCGAAGGCTCTCATGCAGTGGGAACCAATCTCCTCCAGGATCATGACAGCAAGATTCAACTCAAAAGGAAGAAAGGTCACAATCATACAATGTTATGCACCTACAAATAATGCAGAGCAAGAGAAAAAGGAGGAATTCTACAGACAACTTCAGTCAACACTGGACAAGACGTCAGTTGGCGATATCAAAATTCTAATGGGCGACATGAATGCCAAACTGGGAGGGGACAACACGGGAAGAGAACTAACCATGGGTCGAGAGGCGCTAGGCGAAATGAATGAGAATGGAGAATTGTTTGCAGAATTCTGTGCATTCAACGATTTGGTGATTGGAGTGAGGCAGTGTGTTCAGGCACAAGGATATCCACAAAGCGACATGGTTTTCACCAGATGGACACACTAAAAACCAAATCGACTTTATCTCAATCTCAAGAAAATGGAGACGCAGTCTACTTAACACAAGGTCAAGAAGAGGAGCAGATGTAGGTTCAGACCACTATCTAGTGCAAGGAACCTTCGAAATCAAGTTAAAAGCCTTCAAGGAAGCTGGTGATAGACCTCAATTCAAGTACAACACTCGGAAACTGAAGGATGAAACTACAAAGGAGATCTTCAAAGCAGCCATCAAGACAAAATGGGAGACGTCGAGGGACATCCCTGAAGAAACCTGTGTAGAAGAACACTGGAAGTCTTTGAAAGCTATGTGGAAAGAAACCTGCACAACAGTATTAGGAAGGAAGAAGAAAGAAGACAAGGAATGGATCTCGACGGATACCTGGAAGCTGATAGAGGAGAGGAGGATGGTGAAGCAGAAGATAAACCAGTGCAAGGATGCTCAACGACAAGAGGAACTGAGCACAATGTATAAAACACTGGATAAAGAAGTGAAGAAGAGTGCACGGAAAGACAAACGACACTTCTACGACACACTGGCAAGTGAAGCAGAACAGGCTGCAGGTAAGAGAGACCTGACGACATTGTATCAAATAACCAGGTTGCTATCAGGGAAGAGACCAACACAGATGAAACCAATAAAAGATGAAGAAGGAAATTTAATTACAAAAGAAGAGAAACAGAGGAAACGATGGGCCGACCACTTGAAGAAGCTCTTGAATCGACCACCACCACCACCTGCACTTCGTCCAGAAATACCACCTGCAGCCGCTGAATTACAAGTGAACATAAATCCCCCAACGAAAATGGAAGTCCTGAACGCCATAAAGCTACTGAAATGCGGGAAAGCAGCAGGACCAGATGGAATACCGCCAGAAGCACTGAGAACAGATGCAGAGACAACAGCGGACATGCTCACACCACTATTGCAGAAGGTGTGGAGGGAAGAGAAGCTACCTGACGATTGGAAGGGTTAC